ATCGATGGCCAATTTCCTCTGAGACGCGCCTGCAGGGAATCATCGTAGTTTTAATCATCAAAACCGTATCCAGTCCAAGATGATGAATACAACTACCATTCTCTGCAGGCGAATCTCGTAGAGGGAATGGTCCATTGATTTGAAGATTAAAACAAGATTGAATAAACTTCCCGTATCTAGCACCGTTTTTGATGGAAATGTGTGACATAAATAAATGGTCTTTACTAAAATACAACTCAAAACATCCGTCAATCATTCTTTTGTTTTGGCGACTATTTTGCCCGTGTCATGTTACAACCTTGCTTGATTTTTATGATCAATAACAAACTTATAAGTGGAAACCGCTGTAAATTGATTTCCTTGTTTTGTTGATCAACAGATCTGGGGTGATTCAGATTCCTTGGCTTTAGCTCAGTCGTTAGGAATTGACAATTCATTAAATTCTTTATCTTCTGTTACCGATCCACCCAAGGTAAGTAGTCTGAGCAGTTTCAAACACTGAGGCACAACTCACTGCTGGCTAGTGTATTGCACGAGGCCAATTTTAACCTGTTTCGCAGTACTTAAAACCTTCCCATCTTGCACATTCTGTCGCAGCTAGTGCGTTGTTTAGCCTGACGATTTGCGTCAAAAACAGTTATTAGAGAGATTAAGTATGTTTTTTTTCGGCAAAGGATAAACGCAAAAATATAAACTTTAGCACTTCGCTTTTTTCAGCCATTTATACCTTAAAGCGGGAATGTTTTTATTTACTCTGAATAGGAGATTTTTTTATATTTTTGTGTTAGGCTGAGTTTAGGTTTGAGGAAAAACAAAAGCCGAAGAAAATTCGGAATATTTTTTGCCGTTTGCCGTAAACGTCATTTTTTAACTCTCCATTAACGAAGCGGACGTCAAAATTAGTTGCCATTGGAACGTCAAAAGTGGACAAACGTCCTGAACTACTGGGTTAGAGATTTTCTCGTCACATTCTTGCCCTCGTCACATGTTTTTGACAGATCAACAAAACAGACGAACTCTGAATATGGGAATTACAGCTTTCCGATTTTGTTTCCAGTATCATATAACATTACTGACAGTATCATAAGAAATTATATTTTTATTTTTTCCACAGGTTGGTGACTGTGCGTCTAAAGTTTTAGCTGCATTAACGATGAATTAAAATATTGCTATTCTCACGCCAACCTCCTTTATTTTCGTTCCTGAGCGCTGCACCGAAAGTATAAACACCTCAACGCCACTATGTTTAGACGGATTTGGTTGCTGCTTTTATGCATCGCAATTTAGTTTAGCAGCAAGATGATTTGAAGTGTTCTAGAAGGACGCATCATTTAGTAGAACAGTTTCTGCTGGTTTTGTAATCAGGTAGTGCTTAAGACCGCCATCTTAATTCATCAACTCCGTGACAGGCAGATTTTTCAAAGGATATTGACTGGGTTGACCAGTCCAGAAGGGTCTAAGTATCAACGTTTTGTACAAGAGCAGAATTCAGCAGTACAGAACCATTCGAGTTGCCATATTCAAAAAGGGTGCGCATCACTACGCTTCACATCTTATCGCATGGCGATCGCTCATTGGCTGAAATGCTTTTCGAGAGCCACGTGATTAGAACGTGTTTACAAGTGTCCTCTGTAAAAGGAATTTTTCCCGCGCTTTTAAGATGTAATACTTTGGGTTGCTGTTGTTGTTGTTGTTGTTGTTGTTGTTGAATGTATTTTGTGGTCACACTAGCCTAGTCCCTAGGCGTTCTCGGCTAACGGGATTCTGGGTTTTTATCGAGAGTAGTGACGTCACCGAAGAGCACTCGCCGAGAACGCTTACTCTCAACCAGACCTTGCGCGGACAGCGAGGCAAGAGAGAACCCAGAGACTAAGCGGCTGGGTAGACGCTGGACTTTATATGAGAGCTACTGCAAATGTGCGAAATGTTTATTTCTTATAGAGTAACTTATAATTAATGAGAGCCTAATTTAAATGAAGAAGGTGCCTTACAAATAAACAGCTTAGCTGTGTTCTTTCAGCCGTTCCAAATAGTCGCTCAGCTGGCGAAATGTTCTTGTGTAAGTATTATTGTTCAGTCCCTTGGACTTAAGCGCTATCACTCCAAGGAAATTTTCACCACCCGTGTTTTTTAGCATTTCCTGAAGTGTATTTGAAATAGAATCGAGAAAATAAGTCGTGTGGGTTTCTGGTTGTTCCGACGCGAAGAAGCCGACACCTTACGGCCACCCCGTTCATACGGCCACCTCGTTATGACGCTCACTTTATTCTGGTCCGAACAAAAGCTCAGTCAGTGATTTTCTGATTGAAATAACTCCTTTTATACGGCCACCCCGTAAAAACAGCCAGATTTGTTTGGATCTTTGTAGATATCCCGCACACGCGTCAGGTGCGTAGCGACCATATATGTACGCGCGAACCTCCGGAAATCCAGGGAAAATTAATTATATATTTGCTGGTGAAAAGTGTCTTTAATAACTAAATTACCTCGTTTGACAAATCGACTGCTTGGAAAAGGTGCGTTTCTTTGTTATTTAAGTAGCAAAACTGAATCTGATCTTGTTTTCACAGCTAATTAAAAGGAAACTTGATACCATCATTTAAATTCTGAGTTATAACCACACATCTTCAAGAGTTGACCATCGTGGAATAGTCTTATGAACGGATTTGCGCAATATTCTAAAGGCCAAGAGGTAGATAGATTACATATCTGTATCTAATCCAACACATCTTTAAACAGAGTAATTCGAAATTTACCATGCAAGAATATTTCATACGTGATGGCTGTCAGCCAGCGCTTGTGAAAACCATTACTGTCGTCAAGGGTTCGAAAAGCTATGCACTGTTTTCACACAGTTGCTTTTCCTTTCTAAACGATTGGTCCTGGGAATTCCTTAAGGGCTAAAAATATTCCGCTGCCACCAACGTCGCGAATGGATACAAACAAACGTTCGCTGGACTTGAAGAATGGAAAAAGAGGGACTCTGTCTTCACATTTTATTACCTGGCGATCAAACAGTTTGCATTAAGAGCGCCCATCTGATATCGACGTATGTAATCGCGTCCTATTTGTATAAGAAATTGGTCTGTTTGTAGAGGTAATCAAATGATTTCAAGTGCAGTTTGGAATAATTAAGTACGTGTAGAAGTAAATTTTTCAAAGACTAGTGGCCGTTTTTATACTAAAGACGCATTACTTGGGCAAACATTTGTAGTTCGTCTGGTTATGCGTCTCTAGTATAAAGACGGGCACAAGACTTATTATGCGTCTAGACGAACTATCTCTCCTAGTTCGTTGTTCAAGACGAATTTCGAAGTATAGTTCGTCTAGACGCATAATACGTCTTGTGCCGTCTTATCGTCTTAAGTATAAAAACGGCGAAGACGCATTATCCTTCTGGACGAATAATGCGTCTTCTAGTATAAAAACGGCCACTAACTTAAATTGCACGAGCCCGTGAGGCGAGTGTGATTTGAATTCTTTGAAAAATTCACGAGTGCTTTAATATTTATTCCAAATTTCACGAGAAATTAAAGGTAATTTGGTTACTTGTTGATGATATACATACAATTTAATTCCAAGTTTGTGCACTCAATTTAAAGTTTTTGCCCTGCATTTCAAGTTTCTGTACTGTTTGGGATCAATTTGACGTGCTCTTCGCCAGTCAGAACGCTGACATTTTTGCATGTGTGTTATTAGATAAAAGATTAGGGATTAATTGTACGTGTGAACCGACTGGCGGACCTAATTGTTTCGAGAGGAAAGAAAGATGTCCTTTTATGGTTACCGATACCTTTGGAGGTATCTCACGTCCAAGCGATGTAGCGCGTCCGGTTTAAACTGTAGATACCTAAACACCATGCATATCAAATTGAAGCTTATAGAGCTGGCTATCAAACTATACCAAGGTTTTTTTTTGGCTTGTTTAAAAAAAAAAGTGAATTGTCGAACTCAGTTTCACGACCTTTAAATGCGAGCTTCCGAAACGCCCTTTGGAAGCTACAAGTCAAAGCGAAATTTTGTTTTTCGCTAATTTAGTTTGTTCCTCAGTTTCCTGACTGAAAGCGCTACCAAAAACGTGTCTACGTTTTGGTATGTTCAGTTGCAGTGAAAAGTGAACATTTTCGAAATGAGATTAAAAAATTGTGTGGCGACCGTGCATAAAGTCGCTCTCAGCCAAAAAACATTTCGAAATAAAAAATTTGCAGACGCGTTTTAATTGTTTTATATGTTCAACTAGCCACTGTCCAAATTTGAAATCAAACGAACAAATTCCCTTTAGCTTGTAGCTTCCAAAAGGTGATTCGACGCTCATATTTAGAGGTCGTTAAAACTTCGCTAATTCATTTTATTTTAACATTCTTGATATAGTTTGATAGCCAGCTCTATAAGCTTTAATTTGATATAGGGGTTTAGGTATCTGCAGTTTAAACCAAACGCGCTACATCGCTTGGACGCGAGACACCTCTGAAGGTAAACGGTAATCTTAATACTACAGTAACCATAAATACAAGTTTCGATCCAATTAAGTCCAGAGCCAAGTTTT